GAGAGAATGCGGTCATTTTTCAAAATAAAAGATCGTTCAGACTCAGATAATAAATAAAACGGAAATAATTAATGATTTCTTGTGCGGCCCGGTACCAATTGATCCACGGACCGGTACCGGTCCGCGGCCCGGGGGTTGGGGACCACTGCTGTAGAGGACACACTATATACTCATACAAGAGAAAAACTTACATCAGAACATTGAAAAATATAATAATAAACTGTTGTGTAGCTACAGTACAACAGAATAAACTGTATTTTACTATATAGTCATTTAAAATGTTCTTTTTCTTTCATATTCTCAACAGCAGCATACCCAGAATCTGTCCATACTGTCTGAGGCGTCCCGACAACCGAAGGGTGCTGAGTGGCTGTGGCACCCTAAGGTGGTGGTGCTGTACAAGCATGTTCTACAGAACTGCGACACCAGGTCCACCAGCCGCGAGGCTGCCATAGGAGCCCTGCAAAATGTCACTGCAGGCGAGTCCAGGGTAAGATCTCACATGTCAGAAATATTAACACTACATTTTTATTCACATAGCTGAACAGAACAGAAGACTCGTGATCTGTGCTCCTCTCTGCCAGTGGTCATCAGTGCTGAGTCGCGTGGTGACGGAGCAGGAGAGGATGCTGCCCATGCTTCTGGATCTCTTAGACACCAACAGTGACATGGAGCTGAAGCCTTTGACTGGTCTACTGAGAAATCTGGCCAAACACTCCACCAACAAAGACCAGATGGGTGAGATGCAGACTGGCTGGAAACTGCATGAAAAATATTAGTCAAACTGAAGTTGAACACTGTACAACTGAAGCATATGGTTACATGGTTGAAATGTTTGTTTTTAAACCATAGACACATTACTGTAGCAAATGGTGTTAAGATTTATTTAATTATGACAGAATTTTTTTGAAGTCTGAGTAAAAACCCCCATGTTTAATTACTATACAGAAGTGACTTTGATGGGAAAGAATAGTAAGAATGCTCAGTCGTGCTTGGGTGACACTCTT